CCACAGGCACCCGCCACAACGCCCGGCTATTTTTTGGTTGCAGCCGTCATTGTTGTTTTGGCGGGTCCAGGCTGGGGATTCGAACCCGCCACCTTAGGAGTACGTGGCTGGCGCCTTAGCCGGTTGAGCTATAGGCGCCCAGCCACCAGTATTGTTTTAACAACAGGTTGTGAGGGTGATATTTTGGAGGAAATTTCTCTTGTAAATTACCAATTTATATACTTTTTTTTTCTGGAGACAGAGTCTCACATTATCGCCCTCGGTAGAGTGCTGTAGCATCACAGCTCACAGCAACCTCCAGCTTCTGGGCTTAGGCAATTCTCCTGCCTCGGTCTCTCGAGTAGCTGGGACTACAGGCGCCCGCCGCAACGCCCGGCTATTTTTTTTGTTGCAGTTTGGCCAGGGCCGAGTTCGAACTCGCCACTCGAGGTATATGGGGCTGGTACCCTACTCACTGAGCCACAGGCGCCGCCCCAATTTATATGCTTTTTAAAAACCAACCTCTTCAGACTTTTATTTGGGTCCTTCCTTACGTACCACCTGATGTGATGGTCACTCCCTTATTCCAAAAATCTTTAGTGCTTCCTTATAAGCCACAAACAAAACATTATGTTTTTAGCTTCCGCTTCTATGATCTGGCTACTCAGCTCCAGCCAAACCCAGCTATTTCCTTTCCCTCAAGGACAAATATCTCTCGAGGTCTAGTTCAAGTACATTTCCCTGATAAATTCCCTCCTTTGAATTCCCTTCAGGACTTCTCTTCCGGCACTAAGTTCTACCGCCTCGTCACCTCCGCTAGACTTAGAATTCCTGAGGGCAGGAGGAGTACCGCCTAATGAGTACAGATTTAATTTGCAGACTTAACGCGCGTCGGCGAGTTTAGTTGTCCAAGAGCTTGAGACCAGCTGGACAGGACCCAGAAGATGCAGAGCAGGAACCGTTTCCGGCCGCCCCCCACCCCGCCCCGGCTCCCGTCGGGCCCTGCGGCGGCGCTGCGACCGCGGCCACGCTTAAGAGGCTGACCCAACAGGCCGCTTCTGCGGCCAGGTGATGATAACGATCAACCCTTCCCGCTCCTCCAAAGAGAAAATGCAGTCCCACGGCACTTACCGTAGCGACCATGAGGGTGATGAATTCGACCACACACCAACTTCCCGCCACTTCCTTTAAACCACTGCTAGCTGTCAGATATAGGTGACGCCGCGGGCTCCCCTAAATTCCGACTGATTAGTGCCTCAGCGAACGAAAGCACAAGCGGGATACTTTCGCGTTCCTGATTGGTTGGCCAGAGGGCGGGGAAGGGACACTTCGACTGGCGACCGGGAGCTGCCAGGCGGGAAAGCTAGCTGTGGCCGGCGGGGATTGGCGGAAGCAAGTGGTATTTTCTTCTCCCCCGAAGTTGTTGGGTGGAGAAGCAAAGGTGGAGTGCTGCGGTAACGCAACTCGTGATTGGTGGGAGTGACTTTATTAGGGTTCTGGCGATTGGTGACTGGCCGATTACGCGGCGATGATTGGACAGCAGCGGGTAGGCTAAAAGGTGCTGCGAGTCCGCCCCACCGCCTCAGCCTACTGGCGGAAGAGGAAGTGGGGGGGCAGGCGGCGGTGGGGAAGATGGCGTACCAGAGCCTCCGGCTAGAGTACCTGCAAATCCCACCGGTCAGCCGCGCCTACACTACCGCCTGCGTCCTCACCACCGCTGCTGTGGTGAGCAGCTGCAGCTCCAGCTTCTGATTATCTGGGCTGGCTATGACTGGGTCTTCAGGGAACTGGGGTTTGGACCTCCGGGAGGCCCAGAGGGGCTGGTCCCAAGGGTGGGTGGAGGCGTACAGGGCTTACTCTGGGGTTCAGGGTGAAGCTGAGAATTCTCATCCTGTGACCGGTGAAGGGAGTACTGTTTCATGACAGATCAGGTCAGCTTCTAAGAAATGAAGGCCACACCTGGAGCAGGTCAGGGCTCCGGGAACCGCCCATCTTAGTAAGAAATGTGCCCAAGAGCTCTTCAGTGCCAGGTTTTACTGTGTGGTGACTAGTGGGAGGAAGGTCCGCTAAGTGAAGAAACTTAGGAGTTGAGGAAAGCAAGCCTGAAATTGTAGAGAAGAAAACGGCTTAAAAACAAAGAGCAAGTATATAATAAAGGGCTGGCTGGAGGCATCCTGCCCTAACGGTGGCAGGGTCTTGATTCTCCGTTAATTCAACTGAGTTGTGTTTCGCACAGCTGTTTTGGAGTGGTGCCCAAGTAATGGGCAGATTCGTAGCAGCTGTTCTTGTTCTGTGTTGCAATCTCACCTTTTGCCTGCCTCCTATGTCTTCATGTGTGCCTCAACTATTGTAACATAAAACAAACTTATTTTGTGTTGGGTATGAGGATGTAAAGAATTATACCATTTCTGCAGAATTCTTTACCAACCTCTTCCTCTGGCCTAAAAAGAAAAGCTTAAAGGAAACCAGACTGAGAGGTGGAAATTGTTGAAATTTGTTTCTTGATTGATTTGCTTTAAGAAGACCTTTTTCTATTTCAGCAGTTGGAATTGATCACACCCTTTCAGTTGTACTTCAATCCTGAATTAATCTTTAAACACTTTCAAGTAAGTGGTTCATCACAGTCGTGGTTAATTCTTCCATTTTTTTCTTTGTCTTACTGTTTAGTACCAAATCCTACCACATACTATTGTAAAGAATCCAGTGGGGTCCTTTGATTACAAGTCTTTTTGACAAAGTGTAAAGCGATGACTCTGCAGCATAGTTGGACTGTGGAATCACAGAACTTGTAAGAGATTCTCAAGCTCCTCTTCATGTACCAAATCAGAATCTGCAAGGGTAGAAATTAAGAGTCTATGTTTTATTTTTAAAGTTTCCTGGTTTTGATGTGTCCAAGTCCTGTGTTTGAGTATTTGGGTAGTAGCTTACGAGGAGACTGACCAGATAGCTACTCAGGGTGGCCTAAGTTTGTCCATTTACTACGTGGGTGCACCCACCATGTTGGTGTTATTACCATGGTCCAATTCAGAAACTCAGTTTCATTAATGCTTTTAAATTGATCTGGGGTCTTCCAGGGATCAGATCATACTAATAAAACTCCCAAGAGATTGGCATCTAAAACTACATACTAGTTTATTACAGTGAAAGATAGTCCTTTCCTTTGGTTAAAATGCTAAAAGAAAGGTATATTTTGCCATCTCAGGATGATTATTCAGGCTGTAGTTGGATTAGAGATACCTGAAAGCCAATTAACTCTGTCTCTACACATGCTGTTCTATCTTAAGTGTGTTTCATTCACTTTATATGCATTGAACTCTAGTTTGCCTTTCAAAATGCAGATTTGTAGGCCCAGCATAGTGGCTCACACCTGTAATCCTGGCATTCTGGGAGGCTGAGGCAGGTAGATCACCTGAGCTCAGGAGTTCAGCACCAGCCTCAGCAAATTGAGAACCCCCCTATCTACTAAAAATAGAAAAACTAGCCAAGTGTTGTGGTGGGTGCCTGTAGTCCCAGCTACTTGGGGGGGCTTCATGAAGCAAGAGGAGCACTTGAGGCTAAGAGTTTGAAGTTGCTGTGAACTATGATGGCACAGCGCTCAACCCAGGGTGACAGAGTGAGACTCTCCCCCCTACCAAAAACCACCAAAAATACAGCTTTGTGTATGTAGCCTTCTTGTATTCACCCTTCTTTGTTTTTAAATTTAGTGTCACTCTTACTTATACTTATTTATATGCTTATCTCATTAGGATGAGGATTCTAAAATTCGAGTTGCAATTATTAAGAAGAACTGAATTGTTTCAACTTTAGTAGTTACCAGTTCTCAAGACTGTGAGGCATAAAGCAGTCCTGTCATCTCTTGTCACTGTCTTCTTCCTTTGATACTCACATGGCCTGTGCTGGGAGCATTAGCTCTAGCCAAACCTTGCTTCCTTCTGGATTGCTTGGTGTAACTTTGCCTGGGTTTAAACTCTTGATGACACTATCTGCATGTAGCGTTAGGGGTTCTAGATTTGATATCAGAGTCTCCATCTATATGCTACAGGTCCTTGGCCAAACCATCTTAAGGTTATTCAGTTATTTTAGTACCAATCTGATTGTCTCAGAGGATTATTAAGGTCACATGAGACAGTAGACTGTTTGAAAACACTTTAAAATGTTCTCTATTATTGTGAGTAATTTGTGGGTGTTCATGGATCATGTAGGGAAGAGAGTATCAGACTTTCCAACAAGAAAATAAGTGTCCTTATATCTCCCACTTAGACTCTAATTATTAGAGCATTAGTTCTTTTTTTCTTTTTTTTGTAGAGACAGAGTCTCACTTTGTCACCCTCAGTAGAGTGCCAGGCATCACAACTCACAGCAACCTCCAGCTTTGGGGCTTAGGTGATTCTCTTGCCTCAGCCTTCTAAGTAGCTGGGACTACAGGCACCCTCCACAATGCCCAGCTAATTTTTTGTTAGCAGTTTGGCCCGTGGTCGGGTTTGAACCCACCACCCTGGGTATATGAGGCCGGCACCCTACCCACTGAACCACAGGCGCCACCCAGAACATTAGTTCTTATAGGAAGTTGGCCATTTGTGCAGACTAGAACTTGCGTATTTGTATTAGAATTTTTTCCCCCTCTGGATGTTTCTGATACCTAATGTAGAACAGTAGAGAGCTGTGAGGTGGCAGAGCCCCGCAGCTTTGGTGAACATCCAGGGGACAAACCCCCCCTCTATTGACCCTCTTCAGCAGATAACATATTTTCTCTAAGCTTCAACTTTTAGCCCAGCAGAAGTAAAACATGTTTTCCTTAAGAGTTTAGCTTTTAACTTCACAGCTGCACTTCAAAGCAGTCACGTACATTTTCCAGTTAATCTTGTAGATATGTAGAATTGCCCATATTTTAGAGGTCACATGGTAATAATAGATTGCGTTTACCTGGGAATTTGTGCCTGTTTCTCTTTCCATAAGTAAGTTAAAAATGTATCTTCCTTGAAAAACAACTTTGTACTGCCTTCTTAAAAATAAAGCTATTTGGGCACTTGGGTGCTATTGATAGAGAAAAATATCCCAGTCCTCCTGATCCCATCTTTGCCGCTCAGTTCCACCTGTATCTCTTGCATCTTTGTCTTTCATGTTTTATTTCATTTATTTTATTTCATCATTTCCCACCGATCCCACTCTGGTTTGTTTACTTTTCACACTGGTTGGCAAGATAGAAACATTTCTTGGCAATTTATATTTAGGTCCCTGAAGTTTTTCTCTGGTATCTCAAGACTTCGTTATACCATGCTGCTACTCATATGAAACTGCTGTTTTCTGCAAGTTAACCTAGTCTTTTCATCAAACTTTTTCTGTAACTCACCTGATCATGTGATGTGGGCTTTTTAAAAGACAATCAGAATTTTAAAATTTCTGCCCTATTCCCATAAATTTCATGGTCCAAATAATATCTTTCAGACTTTCAACTAAAAGCACAGAAATCCAGTATCACATGGTACGTCCCAGGTTTTGGTTCAAAACAAAATATCATTGTGTCCAAGGTCTTTCAACCATCATAGTGTCTTTTATCTTAATATGGAAATGTTTCCTAGTAATATGTTTTACTTAATCCATCTTTCTCTTAATTTTTTTAACAGATATGGAGGCTAATCACCAATTTCTTATTTTTTGGGCCAGTTGGATTCAATTTTTTATTTAATATGATTTTTCTGTATCCTTTATTAAGTAGAGTCAGCATCAAAATTTTAGATTTACTTAGGAAGTTCAATAAAAATTAAAATGTTAATCCTGGTATTTATTTTTAGCACCATTTTAGCTACAACTTCTGGGTCAGTGGCATGTAGAGTAGTTGGTCAGAGAAGAATGTTCTGACAGTGTTTATAGGTCACTGTTCACACAGGAAGTTTTAATGATAAAGACATCATTTCTGCCCTTAAGTTGTTTACAAATCTGATCAAGGGAGGGGAGAAGTGATTTAATTGAGGCATACTTCCAAAATTATATCAGTAGGTTCAAAGTAGTAAAATGTAATTTGAATACAGTGATAATTCAGTTAATAGTTTTGGCATGGATTTGACAGGTTCATGGGTAATGGGGAACTTGAGATCACCTTGGTTCTTGATTGCTGATTCTACTGGTTGAAAAGACAGTGCTGTGTCCACCAGGCTTGCTGTGTTCCAGTTTATTAAAAGAGAGGAAGAGCCATGCTCTGGAAATTGAGGACACTGAGCAGGGTATTCCTCCACCCCTACCCTCTGGATTTTACAGTTCAGTTCATCTGCAGTGGACAGAGGGCCTTGTAGGGGTGACAGG